ACTTTTTTTTTTTGGGAACTTTTTTTAAACGTCGTTTTTGGGCGTTTGAGAACGATCTGCGAAGTCATTTTTTTTTTTTTTTCTTCTCCGAGGTGGGAAAGGTGATTCGTCTTTAGCTCGGAACCCGCCCCAGGCAGTACACCGAAACGTGTGAAGACGGGCGCCCAGAATAGATTGGACGGCACACACACACAAAACAGCATCATTGATGAGGTCTTTTCCTTCGAAAAAGCGGCCGAAGCTAGCACACATGCTGACACGACCACAAGACAAAAAATCAAGACGACATTTTTGTTTCTTCGTCTCCAAGAGTAAATACAGAGAGAGGTATTCTCGAGCACTCCTCTTTCTGTGCAGACAGCAACAGCAACAACAACACATGTCCATGTGTTTGCCGCAAAAAAAAAACACAGGAAAACAGGTGCCTACCTTTGAACATGTGTGGGGCCGCGCAGACAGGACAGAACCTAGGAAATTGTAAATATGATATAATCGACGGTGCCCCATGGCCTTGCGCCTTGACAACCAGCTGCTGCAGCCAGCAGGACAGGAGCAGAGACAAAGACTTGGCCTTTGCACACGAAGTCAAGCTTTACAATGCCTGAAGGGAACGTTCAGCACTCAAATGATAGCGGTGAAGAGCCAAAAGAGAACGCTACACGGTGAGGAACAAAAAATAGACTGGGTGTCAAGTTTTGAAATTTGAATTTTCGCCATCTCGTCTCGACCGCGCCCTGACCAGCCCACAAACACGGATGTGAATGTCTGTGCTATGCTGTAGTACCCACCACGCCGCGTGACCATCGTGGCATCCCGGTGTGCTTGTAAACGCTTTGGTTTCGGTTGCGTGCACACACTGAAACTGCGACAACAGGGCCCCGCCAAGAGCAAACATAGAATGTTGAAAGGAAAGGCGACTAAATTGTCTACTGCTGCTGTGGGATCCGCTTCCTGTAGCAGTTTTTCTCAGCTACCGAAGATTTTCAGCTCCCGTGGACGATGGTGGATGCGCACTGCCGTTGTATCATGCGTGAGAGTGTACAAAATCCTGTCCTGTCGTCTGTACGGTAGAGATTCTGTTGGCCCATGCATCCTATGGTCCTTTCATCTATCAGTGTAGGTGTTCGTATCATTGTACCTGTTGTCGAATAGGGGAGCCCGCTCCCCTCTCAAACTCACGGTCTAGTCTGTACAGCAGTTGTCGTGTCGCGGTCATAGCAGGAGAGAGAGAAGGCACAAGGCCTGTGCGTACGCCAGAGGTGCATTCGCACTATGCCTAGAAAAAAATGGTAATGGCTACGTCTTCCCGGTGCTTCCCCCAAGCGGTCGGTTGACCAATGTCACCGTGGATCTCACCGATTGAAAACATAACGACGCGTATCCCCCCGCCCGCGCAATCCTCCCTGCCCCAACGTAACTCACCTCTGCACAGGTACTAGCACAGCGTCAAACAGCAGTTCGAATGTTGCTAATAAGTGGGTCGGCCACAGCAAGCCTGCTCGCGTGCTTAACACGAGGCGACAACACGAACGGATCAGATCTCTTACACACGTAGGAGGGCGATCTCATCCAAACTCACGCCGCCATCCGTCCCGCACAACTCGATAATACCCACGCCAAAGCTGTACCCCTGGACCTCCTCCGCCCTCGATCACGTGACACTACCCGCTTGCTTTTTCCAACCCTTGCGCTATCTCTCCGTGCGCACAGCACGCCCACGGCCTGCTTCGGATCCGCCCTCATTTCCAGCAAGATCCCGCCGCGGTGTAGGGGACTCGACGGAGAGGGAGGCGTTATCCTTGGCATCGACGAGGCGGGAAGGGGGCCTGTGCTGGGCCCCATGACGTACGGAGCCGCGTACTGGAGCTGCGCCGACGACAAGGAGATGTCGGCCAAGGGTTTCGATGACTCGAAGGCGTTAACGTCAGACCAGAGGACGAGCCTCTTCGATCGAATTGATAACGTGCGTCGTGTGACATTTGTGCAGTCGTGCGACCATCGTTTGCGCTGGAGTTCGTGGTCGCTTCCAGAACTCTGTTCGCTGTGCTACTGCTGCTTACTGCAATAGGGCCTAGTATGTTGGGAGTTGTGGCGGTAATGATGACAAGATGGTGGTTTTCATGGACCCTGGTTTTGACTAATTGCAGTGCTTGTCAATGTCACCATGAGGGCAATGAATGCCCATACGGGAAATTGGTTGGTATTTTCGCACCCCGCCGTTCGTGGTGTGTCGCCTACTTGCTTTGCGTCATTTCTCCCGCCCTTGACCGACCCCCCCCCTCCTCTCTCTCTCCCTCTTAATTTGTCTGCCTGTCTGTCTTGTCTGTTTCGTTTGTCTCTTGGTCTCGCCATATCTCTGTCTCTCCCCTCTTCATCTCCCTGCCGCCCTGTCGTTCAAACCTGTACCAATCGCTCATTGTGGGTTCGACTACCACCATCATCACCACCATCGACGTCAACCACAGACCCCCGAGGTGGGGTGGGTGCTGCGACTCATCTCCGCTCGAGAACTGTCGGACAAAATGTGCCGGAAGGTGCCCTACAGCCTCAACGTCATCTCGCACGACGCCGCCGCCGAACTGATCCGAGCGGTGCAAGCGCGGGGCGTCAAAGTTACCCAAGTGTACGTCGACACGGTCGGGGACCCGGCCTTCTACCAATCTAAGCTGGAGAAGTGAGTACGGGTTCGTTTTCCGTGAAGCGCGGGTTGCTCTCCCATTTAGTCTCCCTCTCTGGCTCTAAACAGACAAATGCACTCCCCTTACAGTGCCCTTTTTGCAGAAACCATTATCCCGTTCATTGTCGCGTAGGGTAGGTAGGAGTACGAAGGGCGTGATGTTGTCGACAGGGACNTGTCTTCCCTAGTCTGTCTATCCTAACGATATCCCTTCCCGCCTTTTCAACCCACCTCCTATGCCCCAGTACAGCTACCGTCCTTTCCTCTCTATTCCATGCCTCAAACATCTCCCTGTACGTTCCATCTATTTTTCCCAGCTCAGTCACGTACACCTGCCTCTCCTTCTTGTACAACGGACATTCCGCCACTACATGAAAACGGTCTTCGCATTCGAAGCCGCAATCACATTTGAACTCGTCGTCTTCCTCGTCTACCGTCCTATGTCTTCGTCGACGTTCTCGAAGGCCTATGTC